ACACCAATTTACAGCAATTACGTAGATTCTCATCACCAGCACATAATTACTGGCAACCTGAATATCATACAAAACCATCAACTAAAAACACTAATGAGTTATGGTACAAAATTTAGACCAGTCAGAAACATGACTACAAATTACTGTTTACAAGACTTTCGAAAACAACATCAACGAATTTATAGTTAAAGCAAGCTATCAACTGAATTTTCCCATAGATACCTTCTTAAAATGGAAAGCTAAAATTCTTCAACGCATATCCACAGAAATCAGTCACCTCAAATTTAAAAGTACACTGACTGGTCGCAACTTACATCTTAGTCAATTAAAAGCTTTTTACTATTACAAAAAAATAGATAAAGCAACTAATAACTTTAGCATTATATGAAAACAATTTCCACTGAGATTATTCATAAAGAACTTCTCAACGCAACTACTTATCAATCAGCCAACCTTACAGAAACATCTATAATGAACAGGATTAAAACTTTCATAAGAAACTCAATATTACTTTCAATGCAAACTACAACAGATTACTAATCTTTATGCGATTCCCAAATCCATAAAAAACACCATTAAAATTAGATTTTAGCTAATGGAACTAATAATTACAAGAAAAGTATAGGACTATTATTTTTCAATTCAACTTAATAAAATCTGTAAATTATTTTCAATGATTGTTGTAACACTAATCATAACTATTGCTGGATCATTTAATAACACTCCTGTCATTAATACCATTCAAACCATTAACATCCAAAACATTAAATGCTATGATTTTGAAAACTTATATACCTCACTTCCTCTAGAAGAAATCTATAACCAGTCTACTTGATCTACCAAAACTTTTCCCTAATATACTCAATATCATGACTCTTGACAAATGGAAAAAACCTACCTAAAATGCACACTTTTTCATAACTACATCAAGTTTCAAAATCAACTTTTTAAACAAGTCAGGGATTGCCAATGGGCTTACATTCCAGCACCTCGATCTGTAATATCTTTTTTTATTTGTCAAAGAATTTAACTTCCAAAAAAATCTACAACCACAAGAGTTAAATTACTACAAACACACCTACAGATTTATTGATGACCTTATTACAATTAATAATTTTGGTTAAAATTGAAAACTCCGACATTTATCCAATTGTCTTAAACTTAATAAAACTAATAATTCACAAAATAGCATAGACTTTCTAGATCTTCAAATCATTAACTACAAAAAAATTTTACTTTTTGACAAAACAAGAAACTTCAATTTCAATACTAACAAATTAATAAATTGGAACTCCAACATATCCAAAAAAGTAATAAACAATACTATAATTAATCAAATACAACGTATTAAAACTATATGCACAGATACAATAGATTTACAACGCGAAATTTTGATCCTTTTCAAAATTCTCAAAAATAATCTAATTCCCTTTCAATTTATCAGCCATTGCCTTAAAAGAGCAGGCGTTAAATACTCACTCTAAATCATTTAACTGATAGGGATATGATAATTTATTCCTAAACCTGAGAAGGCGGTTTTAAGTTGGATGACTGTCAGTTGAAAGATTTGTATATAGTGTAATTACTCAATTGTATATATTGTAAAAAGCTAATTGTCTTCAGACAATATACTGTTACTATACTGTTACTAAAAAAATGGCCTATTTCCTGCCTTTAGACTGTCTACTAGCTCTTGGATAGCGAAAATGCCTTTTTCCTTTCTTAAATTCTTAATCATTGCGACACGACAATTAGCCAGAAATTAATTAATTTCCATTCACTAGTATTTTTAAAAAAATCTTAACAGACGGTCTCTCTCAGATAAGAACTCCACAAAATACATCCCTCAAGAATTCCGAGTCCCACCCACTACCATAAATTTCTTCACCCAAGTCTTACCGACTGATATAATTCAAAGCCCCTACTGCCGCTAAGAATTTTCGGACACCCTACACTTCTGAGTCAGACACGAAGAGAACACACTGCCAACTCCCCCACTAGAAAGAATGTAAGTTACTTAATACCTTTCTGGCCTTTATATCTTCATGTACATTCACTGATCTTATTTATATTATTTTCTATTTTATTTTTATATATTTTTTATTTTTTCTTTGATTTGTTTTTGCAAAGTTTGCATTATTTATCTTTTTTATAATCTTCTATGTTTATTTCAACTTTACTTTGATTTCGATTTCATAATGACAATTTCCAATGTTTAATTTCTACAAATAATATAGTACTCAAATACATAAAGATGATAGTGTCGGGGACGATTACTCGAGTTTTACAAGATTTCTATCTATCTATCTAATTGATCTGTTTACATTCCAAATTGAATTGACTAAAATGCTTCATGAGAATCAGTTCTCTTTGAGTAACAACTATTCACGGAAATATTTGGCCTGACTAGAATTGCCGGTTTGGCTTTAACTTATAACTCGAGTAAAGACGAAACACTTTCATATTTACGTATTTTTATCAATTATTGATCATTGAACGGGAGTTGGTTTGTTCCCCTTGAAAAGTCAACTAATTTCCGATCAATGACAATAATTACATGTTTTAATTTTACTTTTACAATTGTAATATTATTCTTCGTGATGATTTAACTCCAGTCCCCGTTAAAACATTATTAACATTTTGCTTTCAAATTACTTCAAAACATCTTTCAAAATATAACTTACCAGTATGGATGCACACTTTTAAAATAATTCTACTTTAATTAAACTTAGGAGATAATATAATCAATTAATCAATACTGTTTAGGAAATAAATTATTATTAACTAACTTTGCAGCAATTGCGCAAGTAATAATAACTTGTATTCGCACTAAATGGATTTAAGTTCATACAACATATATATATATAGGCAACTTCCCCTTGATAAGTCTGTCTCCTGCCTACTCTACGATCATTCACATATGCATTTTTTAAAAAATTGTTTAATTTAATTTTAATTATTAAATTAGTAAATTTATTTCATGGATAGATTTACACTTTATTTGCTTATGGTTCTGAATTTAAAAGATATTGTAGATAGTTCGAGAATTAAATCTTTTACATGTTTGCAATATTTTTAAATTATTTTAAATTATTTTGGCTTTTTTCCTTTTTTTAGAATTTAAATTTGCTTTTCTACTTTTTACTTTTAACGTATTTGTTTAGAATTTAAATTTGTTTAAATTTATTATATATAATATATATATATATATATTTTTTACTCGAGTTTTAACAAACTTCTGATTAAAAATTCAGCGATCTTAAAACTCTGCATTGCCATTCTGCAAAAGCATGAGATATATATGTCAAATTTAATCAGAATACTCGGCGATATAAAAAGCGATGTGTCGGAAAACTCAATTATATTAATTTGTATCGAATTTAATAAGAGAAATTATAAAATTATCTCTTAAATTAGTTAGCTGTTTAAGAGAAATGTGTTGCACTGCCCAAATTAAAATATTTCAAAGTGTGTTATCGTTCAGCAAAGCGTAAAATATTCAGTTTTTCACTCCATAACACGCACGCATCAAAATGCATGCTATTGCATCACAGGCATTTTCTTTGCTTTTGAAAATGAATTTGTAATAATCGTCACAAAACGTTACTTTTTCTGTGAAATCAATCATGCCACTAGAGAGAAAATCGGTTGCTCTACTTGCACCTTAAAAAAGCACAATAAAAAAAATCTGATGTGTACACCACATGACTTCCTTGTAAATTATACGCATTTTTTCTTGAATTTAATTAAACTTATTGGATTGAATTAAATCTACTTCGCCGACAGCGCATAAACCACAATAGAATAAATGCATTCTTTAAAATTCACTCTAGTATTTTTTACCATAGCGACACTCTGGCGCTAGATTCACTTAACAGTATTATATTTCGTTCATATTATAACTTATAATGCACAAAATTTATATCATTTAAAGAATAGAATTATCTAATCGTTGCCACATGTTCTATTCAAATACTATATTAAAGCTAGAATGATGTATAAAAGAAATTAAGCAAACAAAACAAAAAAGAAACAGTTTTTCACAGACGATTGAGTATTTCTCCTTCAATTAATTCAGTTCTCACTTCGCGAGAAGGCAAAAATACATAAAAACTCAAAATATCTGTATTAAAAATTGCGAAGTAAATCTTAAACGCTTATTTCCTCGAAAAAATTCCAGATTGGATTAAGCATGATTTAATTGACAATAATAAATGAAGGCGTTATCTTTGTTGTTGCAAAGCTAAGTTTCTCTAGATTGGCAACAAATTCACTAGTTTGCTGTTTCAAATGTAAACAATCAATGGCCGCCATGAAAATAAAGGCTTAGCGGCACTTAAACAATTTTAAAATTGTTGATAATTCTAAAATTATTGCATACAGATTTACTAAAGGCATAAAAACCTTAACGGGAAGATAAAAACAACATAATTCAATCATTTTTAAAGCAAAAAATGTACAATTTAAAAACATATAAGAGTAAAGAAACTGAGATCACTGAGCCGAGTAACAGAGTGGATATATATATAAATATATTTGTATACGTTTAGTGCGGCCGATTGCAACCAAAATACGAGGTGCACATCTACATGTTATAGCAATCCTATATACAAAATTTCAACGTTCTGAGGCTACTCGTTACTGAGAGTTGCGAGATACGTACATACGTTCGTACAGACGCCACGAAAAATTCTCTTCAGAATTTATTTTAAAGCAGTTTTATAATTTTTTTGAAGGAAAAGAGTATTTTATTCTGTCCTTACGTACAGATATCACGCAAAAGCATCGTTAAATTGCATTCGATAGCGGTCAAAGTGGATATTTTCGTTGAAATATGCTGCCTGAAGCTTTTCGCGATTACAATACTTCCTTTTTACTTCGTACAAGGAAGTAAAAATACCGTGTACCCAAAAGCATTTCAGTAAACAGAATTAAAACGCAAACACTTTCTTTAGTATAAGTAGCATTACAACAAATAATAAATATTAGAAGTTACTAACCAGCGTAAACCACAGCATCCTCTGTATCACCAAATCGAAAGAAGACGAGAGCAGGCATGTTGAAAACTCCGAAGGATCTAGCTAATTTGTCGTCTTCTATTTTCACGAAATGGATGCCTTCTGCCTCCGCGTCGTCATCGATGTTTTCGAGCTCCTCCAGTGCTTTGCCACATTTACGGCAATGCGATTTTCTATCTATAGTAAAACAAAAAATTATTAGTGCTGCACATACTTGAAAAAAAAAAAAAAAAAAAAAAAAAGAAAAATAAGAAACTCGGAAATTCGTAACTAAATGGGTAAAAAATACTAATTTTGTATACATTCAAACTCCTATATAGAAAACCATCGCATATAATGAACGAAATTTTTTATTTCTTGGAATATCCTATAAACTTAATGCTATTTTATACGGTTAAAGGGAACTCCTAAATCTCAGATATGACGAATTTTGTATATATGTTACCCTGAAAGACCGAAATTGGAGAATGTCGTCTTTCACCGGAGAATATCAACATTCACCAAATACGTCGGTGAAAGACCGAATATTTCATTACATTCTTGTATATTCGGACCCTCAGCGGTGTATGTCGACTATCACAGATATGCTCTGGTGAAAGTCGAAAAGAGAGGTCATAAAGTGCCATAATAGTTTAAGTTGTTGCAATAAATAAGATTTGAATCACTTAATTTAGTAAGTTTTTTATGACTGTTATTTTATTTTCTCATTTAGAACGTACTGTATAATTAAGTAAGTTTTTAACTTGTATTATTTTCCTTTCTCATTTTGAATGTATTGTGTGTTTTAGGTTCTCATGTTCTTATTTCAAGTCTCAAGTGCGTTTATTCGCGACTGAATGACGGAGAAGAAATATAATATTGTTATATGTTCAACATTCACCATTAGTACATGGTGAATGTCGACATTGACCGGTGTAAGTCAGAAATAAGAGTATTTGGAAAATATTTCGGACATACACCAAGAGACTATGTGAATGTTGACATTCACCGGTGAAAGTCGACATTCTCCAGATTTCGCTGTTTCACCGTAACATATACAGTTTAAACCTTGCTCTAGCAAACCCAAAACTCCGTATGTAACGGGAGATCTTTTTTGTAATCTCCAATTTCTCAGAAATCTAATGATATTTTATACGGTTATAGGGAGACAACCGTATAAAACATAATAACCGTATAAAATAATACCGTATTTTATACGGTTATAGCTTTTAGATGGACAAAAATCGGATATAATTAAATCTGTAAATACATATCAAACTCGGCTATCAGAATCCGGGTTATAATGAACCCCCGGTGTAACGAGCGAACTTTTTGGTCTCGTTCAATTTTCCAATAGACTTAATGTCCGTCTCGGCTAGAATATTTGTCTAATTGTACCGGCTTAACGTTTGCAGCGCCACGTAATGCCGGTGGCGAGAGCCCAGTACTAATCAGTAAACCATAGGCATGCACTCGGTCCGCATCGAGTCTCTTTTCCTCTGCCCGATCAAAGCGGCAGTTAATTGTTAATTGTAATCCTGTACAGACATTAGGATTTTTTGGAAGCCAGAGAGATGAAAAATTAGCAACCGCCTTCGCCGGGAATCGAACCACGGACCTCTGGAATACCGGCCCAGCGTGCAGAACCAATACACCACGAAGGCACGCTAGGGAAGTGGGAGAAATACCTTATAATCCTTACTCCTTCTTTGTCCGTTTAAGCGGCATTATTGTACATAAAAGAAAATCAGTGTTCTTAAGTTTTTCAACTTGACGTTTCTGAGTTAATACACAGTCCGCAACCATTTGCTATCAACAGTTACTTTATACAGATATAGCAAACTTCTAAATACATTGTAGAGTTCCTCACTTCGGAATTCTAAGTTAATGTTGGAAGTGAAGAATCTAAGAAGTGATAAGCGAATAATCGCTTGAGTTCGGTGACAAGAAACAACAAGATAGAAGGGTAATTAACCCTTTATTATTCCAATAAGATTTAATAAAACTCCGCCTGGGAGTGTACAAACAAAGCCCGCACTTGGGCTTGGAATTAAAAGACTAAGAATTAAACTAAGATTAACTAAAGAAGTATAGCCGAAGCTATCAAGGTTCAAATCGAGTTGGCCCCTTAAACGTATTTGACTACGAAGTTTAGCAAGTGCCTGAGTACGGCCGAGCGTAATAACAGCTTTGAGAGAGAGAGTGGCCAAAAAGGCAGACGCGCATAAATCAGAAACTCTGATTCTCTCCGACTCAGTAAGTAACTTCGTGGTTTAAATACCGCTCCTCCTCATTAAATATTCAGCAAGATTCCAAAACTACGTTCTGGCCGGAGTAGTAAGTTGAAGTTAAGAATTTGACAGGAAAGAAACTTAAAATTTAAATGTTAATAAAATTAACATAATTCTTACAACATAAAAATCGCATATAATACCTTTTGCATTTTAAACGCTTCGAATTGCCGAAATCGTTCTAAAAGTATATAAACACTCTCTGTACAAAAGGAATACCGTTTTATTTGCAAGAAATACTATTGTAGAAGCACACTACGAAACATTCCACTGCTTTCCTTGCAAAAATGAAGAGTGATATAAGTATATACCTTTTCAACGTGTAAAGTTGCGCGCTTCCAACCTGGACGCAACAAAGTGGTGACTGCTGAGAACTGGAAATAGACCAAAGTCTTGAGAAGAGTTTAAATCCCTTTTTATTCAACTTTAGAAATTACAAATGCGTGCACTCGACGCTCACAAACTACGCCGACCCGGCGGTAAAATAAAAATAAGAACCTAAAAAGAAAATAATAACAAGACTCTAACTACGAGGCTCTCTAAACGTAACTAACCTCACCGCGTTTTACAATACCGCTGCTAATTCAGCTAACTTTGAATATCACGTTGAACGATTAACACTACTTCCAGGCAAGCACACAGGCCGAAACGCGGGGTTCTTCAATTTCTGGCCAACTACCTCCGCGCTCGTGAAGTAAGAACAGCACACTTCGAACTCGTTTCCCTTCTATTTAACTCAGAATACTTCCGCTGAAAATCTGAATACTTTGCGCGTTGTACTAAAATTTACATACTCTGGCACTGGCAATTCCAGGGGAAAGTAAGGCTTGACAGGAAAGATGAATGTTAGTTAAAATAAATATAAACCCTACAAACGTATTCCTGCGAAGTCCACTGATGTGTCATCTGTAGGTCAAAAACATCTCTTCCTAAGCGCGAATACACAGCGATGGACGAACTCTAGAAATTAGTGGAAGAGGGACGGAAATTACTACCTTTCGAAATTTTACGAAAAGCTCTCCTATCAAGGAATTGAGGAAGCAGATTTATAGTGCAGAAGAGAGGCTAACAGATCGAACATTTAAAGAAATATTCTTTACATTTTAAACATTGGCCTCGAAATCAACCTAAAAAAAAAATGTGTAAACACCCTCTGTACTTTAGCTAATTTGTCGTTCATATTTTCCATGTTTATGTATATAAACGGATGGGACTTCACATATTCGGATAGAATATCGAACGATAACATTAATCATGATCTCATTAAGCGGCGTCTACTGCATTCATCTTTTCACGATCGCTTGGTGCTGTTTGGTACGTAATTACTCTTCGGTATGTGCCTTGAAAATGATAAATGACCTTGGGATTTGATCCTGGATTCATGGCAGAAATAAAGCAATTCATAAAGAAACAGACATATTAGAAATCCAAACTTATTTTGCCGAAATAGCGAAAAGATTTTTTGACAACATCAATAAAGTCAATAACCCCACAATCCCCATCTTATATTACGACCCAGCAAGTAATGTAAACAAAAAGAGACCCCGGGCGGTGCTTCGGCACCTCCTCTAGGCCGTTTATTATTGCGTAGTTATCCAAAAAAAAATATCTTTATACATATTTTTGTGTTCTCATATTCTTTTGTTTTATTGCATTGTATCCCATATATGTAATTGCATCGAATTGTATTACTTGTACCTGTAAAATATATGTACACATAAGGATTTCACACTTCTTCGGGAAGCTTTATCACGCATTTCTTTGACTCGATATCATTCTGCGCACATTAATTGTACTTCTCTCACCTCAAGCGTACTGCCCTCAGGGGTAGCAAGGTTCTCCTCGGTTCTACAGATGTTCGTCAACTCCTATGCCATCATGCCTGTCTTCTAATTATGCCACATACTTCCAAGGACTGTTATGCAACCTTGTTTACTTTCCTTTTCCAAGTGTTAGAAAATCGGACATTGTGCTATTCACGGGGTAACGCACCTGCGTAGGCACCCGAATTGCAAGCTCCAGCCTTGCCTGAACCGAAGAATACAGTACCGATATCGCAAAAGGAGCTGTTTGAACTGCTTTATAGCGGAAGCGTTTTTGATTGGCTCTCGAGGTCGCCGCAGATTCCTTTTCAAAACAATTCTATTGGGGTATGATTAGAAGCGATTAGTTGCCAGAACTCAAATTTCTCTACCTAATTTTAATTTTGGTTATGTATTTATGATTTATGATTTTATGATTTTCTCATTTATATATTTTACAGCTTCTGTCAATTTTTGTATATAACCCTTGTATTTTGTATTTGTATCTTAACTATGTAATAAGTCAGTTATTTTCCACATTTAATTATGCTTTATGTGTCATGATTTGTTTCTGTTATTTAAGCACAACACAAACATGCACCTTCAGTTTTCCTCACTGCTTCGTTTAGTGGTTCTTACTTTCTACATTTGCCTTCTTAGGATTGTGACTCCTGGTCACCCCTGCATTGTGTATTCTATGTTTATTTACTGATGTCGGGAAAGAAATATATTGTTCCACATTAATGTATTCTGTATATAAATGCTGTACACTTTTGTATTGATATATTTGCACACATTTTATGTTATCCATCATTTGTATTGATTTCATTTGATATCATTTGATGTTGTATTTGTCATTTTGTATGTCCATTCTCATCTTAATTGCCACTTTCCCAATATTTTTTATACCATATAACGTTTCAATTTTAGACTGTTTATTTCAATTTGTAATGTCTCTTCTTTTGCACATTTTGTCCTATTAAGTACAATCAGCATTCTTTCGTGCTTAGTCGTCCCCGCATGTTTAGCATGTTCAGCGTTTAGGAGTATTATAGCTGTCCTTATGTATATAATACTATTTCCTTTTTGTGCGCATCTGATGTAATAAGTCTGCTAGCTCTGTGTTGTAACATTTATGTAGTTATCTCACTGGCCACAATCCTTCAATGTATTATGTCACTTCACCATTAATATTCGTAAATTTAATATCTTATATTACATATGCAATAATTATGACTCCTGTACAAAACCAACTAGTTCTTAACCTAACTTGTATGTAGATTGTTTATATCCTCATTCTGTATTGTAAATTCTTTCCCCCTTGTTTGTGCATGTATTATTTTTATTTGTGTTTTTAACCCGGCGGAAGTCGCACCAAGAAAAGTTACTAGAGTGGGCGCGTGGGGTATCACATACCCCAATATTTAAAATACGATAAAAATAGTTTTATTTAGTTTTAAAGCTTTTTTTTTTTTTTTTTTTTTTTTTTTTTTTTTTTTTTTTTTTTTTGTTCTCGTGCATTATAAATACGTGAATAATAATTGGGTTTCAAACAATTAATTTCCAAAATAATCTTAGAGTTAAAATTAAGATAAATGAAAATAATAAAAAAATAAACAACATGCCTCTAAGTTTAATTGCATCTCTAATACACAATGCTTATTTTATTTCTTTACACTTTGAACGAAATACATTCATGTGTTCTCGGCACAGAATGTTTTCACATTTTAAACATTGCATTCACATTCTTCTGTCCTTGGCGCGAGGGCAATTTACCACATCTTTCATACTTAGTTGTTTCGAATTTCATGTATTCGTTTTAATTCTTCGTCGAAACATGTGCTTGTTTTGCATGCAGTACGTCAGTTTCTTCTTAAAGTATTAATCTCTGATCTTTGTTCAATACTTTTTTTCATTAATTGTAATGCTGGCAATTGAATAATTGGCTGACATTTCGTCCCCCATATCCACTGCTCCTTTAGTCATACTATAAAAATATATAATTCCTGACGTTTTATTTTCTCCAATAATATCATCTATAGTACAATATAATGTTATATAATGTTGAAAGCATAAGAACAGTTTTTCCTTTTTTAGGAACATTAGGAATTAATGTTTTATCCTTTTCGAAACCAAAACAGTGTAGAAAATATTCCTAGTTTCATCTTCAGTTTTCGAAATGTAATCGTCCTCGCTTTCAATTTCTAATAAATCTCACAGCCGTTGCATCTCCAATTCATAGAGATGAATTCCACTCTCAATCCATAAGGAGTCAGTCTTTTTACCATAATGCGGTTAGAAATTTTCAAGAATTTAATGTCAAGTACTTTAAAATCGAGTAGAAATATTTGCTCTTACACTCTAGAAATAAATTTCCGAACTAAATATTCGGTCAGAAAAACACTTACACGGACAGGCGCGTGGGGTGTGTCATACCCCAGTTTCAACAAAATACCGATAAATCATTTTCTGAAATACACAGGCAAAGAAAAAGCGGTTCTGAGAGTCATCCACAACTAGAAACTCAGCTACTGAATGCAGCACAGAATATTCCACTTTTATGTAGGGGTGCGGTATGATACACACCATGCGCTTTCCCGCGGGTTAATAAATTCCCAGTGGCCTTTGAGGTAGCAGACGGTGCGGGGGCTTGCATCGGGCGTTGAGCTTCGGCGTCGGGTGTGGGTAGCTCATGTTTGCGCTGCTCCTCTTGGTGTTGTCTCTAGACAGGGGTGGGCGCGGTGCGATACCGATTAACCTTTATGGTAAAGGGACAGTGCCCGCGTCCTCCGTTACTTGTCACTTGTTCTTTTCACCCCCTCAAGCCCATCTTATGCCTCCACTTCTCCACGTCTGGCATTTCCTAATGTCATGTTCCCTCTGGGCTTTGTTTCATGAGCCGGACACGCGATATTTCTGCCGTACTGGTGCGGATGCGGAAATTGAGCCTGCGTTGCGGGTGTGTTTGTGAGTCCGGTGTATGGACGTGCTTAGTTCGATCCGTTGTTTAATGGTGGAGTCTGATTGTGATTTTTCATTGGCTCTCGAAATTTCTACAGTATTAATCGAATTCTTCATCAAAATAAACGGTGTATTTTCCATGTTTCCATATCCATATAGGCGGACATGGGCATAATAATACCCATATGACAACATTAGCCTCGATCCCATTAAGGGGGCTCATACACCTTAAACCCCTTATGATCTTCGAATATGCGACTGTTGCAAGAATTGGGATATTTCATTTATTTTAAAAGCAATTACTTCCAAACTTTTACAGCTGACTACATAATATAGCTGCTTTGGAAATTAGTAACCAGAAAGTTTGTGTTGCCACAAATATTTTTGTAATTTAATCCTCTTTGTGACAAAATATTTCGCCATATTTCCACCTTGCGTGCATGATATTTTAAAAATGGCTAATGGTACGTACTTGAAATTGGATGGAATTTTTTATATGGGCACTATTTTCTAACTGAACCAACAATCTGATGAATATTTTACTATTGAAAAATTTTATGCACGAAAACATTACAATTTTTTTAATAAAATACATTTTATAAACTTAACTCAAAATAAAATAAATATTTAACATGAAAGCTTTAGAATTTGAGGTTCACAGTAGTTTCCAAATGTTATAAAAGCTATATATTAAATATGGTATTAAATTATGCAACAGAATGTTTTAAACTGTGCGCGCAAGGTGGAAACATGCTAAAACATTTTGTCACAAAGCGGATTAAATTATAAAAATATTTGTGGCAACACAAAATTTCAGATTACTATTTCAGAAAGCAGCTATATTATGTAGTTAGCTGTAAAAGGTTGGAAGTAATTGCTTTTAAAATAAATAAGTTATCCTAATTCTTGCAACAATCACATATTCGAAGTTGTTACGGGGGTGTATGAGTCCCCTTAAGATGCTCCTACTGTATATGCTAACGAACATGTAAACCTTTTCAAGTATTCGAACTCTACGGTAAGCAGGAACGTTAGCTGCACTATACATCACAGCAGTGAAATTGTTATTATAATATATACTTTTCATGGATAATTTATTCGTATAAAGTTATAAAATAAAAAAGTCAAACTAAAGCTTACAGAAAAACACAGCAAGGTAGTCACATCGAGCAAGAACCCTTTCCAGCATTCTTCTGTTAACCTTTTCAATAGCATCGCTGCTTTCCATATTATCCGGGCTCGTCAACCACTCAAGAACTTCCTCTTCATCTGTTAAATCACCTAAAGAAGGAGAAAGAGCATTTTATTAAATAGAAGTCCCGAATGTAAAAATATGGCATTGGCAATCTTTATACCAATTACCATAGCAGGAATTGAAATGACATTGTTTTTTAATTAAAGAGAAAATCATCACTCGTTATGCTAGGAGTTGTTATTTGCATGTTCAGTTACGTGCAACTTCACTCTTTACCAACATTTTTACCCGATTGTTGTACAATATATTGCGTGCATATGGGTTCGTAAAGGATTGAATGCACACAGATTCCATAATAGCTTGATAAAATTTATTTCTATCAAAGAAACTCTTTACAGTTCTGCAACTTTCCGCAAAAATACTTATCCACTCTTCTCAGTATCTTAGAGTACTATCAGTGGTTTTTCACTTTGAACCACAAAGAACGTTAAACACAGAGCAGTGCAAAGGGCATCTAAAAGGGAAAAGTTCCTACGGAGATCTTTCAGTACTCCAAACACACGTTGAACTAAACACCTGAAAACCAACATTCTCTCCAATCTCATATAGTTTTCGCCCGGCTGCCCAGAAATCTCTAGTACCTTCCATTTCTCGAAATTACCGGAAGGCATATGAGGGCCGGATACGGTTACAGTTACATATAGGTTACAGTTACATATAGTTAGTTACATTTAATCAATCAAAATACCAGTTAATAGTTATACATAGACTTGACCCAAATGTCCCCCAGTTTGGAGGGTAGACGATTTCTAACCAAATTTGGCGACAAAAAATTAGTCTCCAAAACTGTCGTCAGCATGGCGATATCTCACCAATTTAGTGAGATAGCCATTTTCTCTAAGTTAAATAGGTAATAAATAGATAAATAAACCTCAGCCGGTAATAAATATATAAATGTACAGTAAATGTATTATTGCGTGAATACAGGTTCGCAACAGATTGAATGCACAATTCTGTAAAAGGTTAATAAAATTTATTCTTATCAAAAGAAATATAACACAACACTGGAATTTTTTCAGAAATATTTGTACAGATGTTCACAATATCACGCAATAATAATCAGCAGTTGTCCTTCAAACTACTAAAACGTTAAATAGAATGCAATCCACAACACAGAGAAAGCTCATCCGATCTACAATAATAACAGTAGCTAACTGAGCTGAGATACAGGGGTTGGACAAAAATATGGAAACACCTTTAAAAAAACATGTTTCTTTGCTTAATATGGTGTAGGAAACCCGTTGGCATCCAAAACAGCTTGCAGTATTCTCGGAATGGATAAATACAGTTCCTGTATGTTTGCCAAGGGAATATTATACCATTCTTCCTGCAAAACGGTGGCAAGTTCAGATAACGATGTTGGCGGTGGATAACGAGAACGCACTTTCCGTTCCAATGTAGACCACAAAGGTTCGATAATATTCATGTCTGGTGACTGTGGTGGCCAGGGAAGACGGAACAACTCATCCTCGTGCTCAGAAAACCAGTCCTGAACAATGTGAGCTGTGTGAACAGGGGCTTTGTCGTCTTGGAAGACACCATCACCATCGGGGAACAAAGTTTGTACCATGGGATGAACTTGATCGGCCAAAATGTTCACATAAGTCTTGGCAGTCATGTGCCCTGAAACAGTTATCATGGGGCTAGCAGAGAACCACGATATGGCTGCCCAAACCATAACAGAACCCCCGCCATGTTTCACTCTTGGCAACAAGCAGTCTGTATTATAGGCTTGAGATGGCGTTCTCCAGACGTAAACTCGGCCAGAAGTGGGAAACAATGTGAAGGAAGACTCGTCAGACCATATTACTCGCTTCCACTGTTCTATAGTCCAGGCTTTATGACTTAAACACCATCTTTTCCTGTTACGGGCATTAGCATCACTGATGAGTGGCTTCTCATTGCAGCACGGCCAGCAATTCCCTGTTTATGAAGCTTCCCTTCTAATTGTTTTGGTACTCACAGGGTTCGGTAACACAACATTCATTTCAGCAGTAACTTTTGCAGCTGTAGTCTTCTTATTTTTTGGTCACATTGCCCTTAATGATCGTCTGTCACGATCACTCAGGACACACTTTCGTCCGCGCTGTGATTTAGCAGATGATGTTTTTCCGCTTTTCAAATATGCGGAATAAATCTTCGATACAGTACCTCTTGAAACACTAAACACCTCGGCTACCTTGCTTACGGAAGCACCTACCATACGTGCTCCAAAAATTTGCCCACGTTCGAAGTCTGTTAATTCTGACATAATGCAATGACAACCTCACATAACAGTACTCCGACAACAACTGAACTGTTTAGCACATTTACGAAGTTGTATAGGTGGCGTCAGTAGTCAAAAATGCCAGCGCCACCTACATATTTCATTAAAATCAATCTTTCTTTTCAAACATGCATTTCACAAGGTGTTTCCATATTTTTGTCCATCCACTGTATCTCCCTTCTAATTGTTTTGGTACTCACAGGGTTCGGGTAACACACATTCATTTCGCAGTAACTTTTGCAGCTGTAGTCTTCTTATTTTGGTCACAATGCCCTTAATGATCGTCTGTCACGATCACTCAGGACACACTTTCGTCCGCGTGTGATTTAGCAGATGATGTTTTTACGCTTTTCAAATATGCGGAATAATCTTCGATACAGTACCTCTTGAAACACTAAACACCTCGGCTACATTGCTTACGGAAGCACCTACCATACGTGCTCCAAAAATTTGCCCACGTTCGAAGTCTGTTAATTCTGACATAATGCAATGACAACCTCACATAACAGTACTCCGACAACAACTGAACTGTTTAGCACATTTACGAAGTTGTATAGGTGGCGTCAGTAGTCAAAAATGCCAGCGCCACCTACATATTTCATTAAAATCAATCTTTCTTTTCAAACATGCATTTCACAAGGTGTTTCCATATTTTTGTCCATCCACTGTATCTCTCTCCGGCATTTTAAAGCTTTCAATCGGTCACCAGAGAGTTCTAGTAATTTGTTTGCTTCTCCGGATTTCTGGAAACCAACAAGAGGATGGATGGTATTAAGGTTACAGCTAACACAGTAGTCAATTACATTTATTCAATTTCAATACAAACAAGTAAGATATCCATTTATTGAATGTCAAATGCACGCGCTCATATATTTATATTTTTTCGGCATAGCTTTCTTTTAAAACTCGTCTCGCACGGGGAAATAAAACAATTTTAATTATAATTCTGCTAATATTAGCTATCTAATATCAGGCAAGCTAGAGCTGCAACTGCACATCTCATTACCTTTGCTATCAATTATCAAGCTGATATCATATTTCTTCAGCAGCCGTTTACTAGAGATGGAATAATAGTTGGTCTGCCATTTGCAATGGAGTATCTTCCAAAAAGCAGATTTAGAGCAACCTCCGCGTGCTGTCATAGTTATTGGTAACTCTGACTGGACCCTGTCAATCTTGAAGGTAGTAGAAAGAGATCATGTAGGGATTTCCTAGAAATAACTGGGCTTTCAATTGCTTCTAATTTCAATCTACTCACCACCTACTGCTTCACTTGATGGAGATATACAATTTTCAGGTTTCATTCTACGTTCTCAAACTTCAACTCATCAGCTTATTATCGGTGATTTCAATGCCCACAATACCATCTGGGGTTACAATACCACAGATACTAAAGGCCGCTAATTAAAAGACTACGTCGCCTCAAAAAATCTTATAACTCACAATAGCACAGACGCTCCTCCTTCTTTTGACCCTATTTTTGCAATAGGATGGCCAGACTTAACAATATCGAATCAATTCGTAGCACCATATATTCAAAAATGGACAGTCTCTGATGAATATAGTCTTTAAGATCATAAATATATAGCTTTCCAAATCGCACAAGTTTCATCTACCGTAATAATCAAAAGATGCCAGTCGCCTGGCAAGAAAATTCAAATATTTGTAAGGATTATGTTAATTTTATTAACAGTTAAATTTTAAGTTAAAATTCCATTCCTGTCAAATTCTTAACTTCAACTTACTACTTCCGGCCAGAGAGAAGTTTTGGAATCTTGCTGAATATTTAATGAGGATTATTCTAGTAATTTGTTTTGGAGAATATTTAATACGGTATTTAAACCACGAAGTTAGTTACAGAGTCAGAGAGAATCAGAATTTCTGATTTACGCGCGTCTGCCTTTTTGGCCACTTTCTCTCTCATACAAGCTGTTATTACGCTCGGCCGTACTCAGGATCTTGCTAAGCTTCGTAGTCAAATAAGTTAAGGGGCCAACTCGATTTGAATCTTGATAGCTTCGGCTATATTTCTTTAGTTAATTCTTAGTCTCTTAAGTTCAAGCCCAAGTGCGCGGGCTTTGTTTGTACTGTTACGAATTTGGTATTTAAAAAGCTAATATTAGTACAATTATAAATTAAATGGTTTTATTTCCCGCGCAGTGCAGCGCGTGACGAATATTAAAAGAAAGCTAAGCCGGAAAATTGAAAATACAAGCGCGCGTGCATTAAACATTTAATAAATATCTCTTTTTGATTTCGAGAAAGTATTAGAAAATTCTCGCGCGTGATTTTAAAATCTTATAAAAGGAGGAAAACCTTTCAGTTCGTAGTTACCTGTTTACAGCGGCAGAGCTCGGGGTCAGTACTTGGGTGGGTGACCACCCACGTGACTGGCCTCGACGTATCATCTTTCTTCATACTAGTGAAGATACATCACAGCTTGTACGGCGGCCAGATGCTTGAACCAAAGAAGGTAAATCACCTTAATTTTTAATTCTTCCCAACGCCTTAGGGCATATCTCCAACAGAGACGGTTAAAGTAGCAGAGGCTACTAAATGCCGCCTAACCATTCACTCGATTTCGATTTCAGTTCGTAGTTAGTTTGTTTGTTGTTTAGAAAACTGCTCTTCTTGACTGTAGCAAATTCGCGGATTAGCTTTCTTTAGCTGTTTTGGAATTAAGTTCTATTGAACGTTTGAGTAGTTAAAAGATAACTACTGTGAGATACTGTAATACTGCACGATAATTTGAGGAAATTTAAGCATATTTCTTGTGATAATAATAAATTTTTGTTCATTTTTCATCGGACTTGTGCATTTATTTCGTAACGAACCCGTACGCACGCAACAGTACACTCTCAGGCGGAGTTTTGTTAAATCTTATTGGAATAATAAAGGGTTAGTTATCCTTCTATCTTGTTGTTTCTTGTCACCCGAACTTGAGCGATTATTCGCTTATCAGTTCTTAAGATTCTTCACTTCCAACATTAATTTAGAATAACAAAGTGAGGAACTCCACATATTTACAGAGAGTGGTATACGAGGACACCTGTCCAGTATGGTACCACACTTTAATCATGTGGAAACAACAGAGGATCTTAATAACTTTACAAATAGCCTCTTACAAACTTATGAAGATACTTACAAAAGCACATCTTCCACAACGTCATACCAAAAAGTTACAAGCCATTAGCTGGTGGACAAAGATTTATGTATCCAACAAGTTAAATGTAGATCACTCTCGAAAACTTAACCTCTGTCAAACATAATATCTTTATGCATTCATTCCAAATTATATATTTATGTATTATTATTATTATGTATTATTTATGTATTATGTAATTTGTGCATTCATTCAATAAACGGCTGGGATCACGCAGTGGGGAGACTAAACCAATTAAGGGTACTCATACACCTTAAACCCCTTATGATCTTCGAATATGTGACTGTTGCAAGAATTGGGATATTTTATTTATTTTAAAAGCAATTACTTCCAACTTTTTACAGCTGACTACATAATATAACTGCTTTGGAAACTAGTAATATTTTTGTAATTTAATCCTCTTTGTGACAAAATATTTCGTCATGTTTCCACCTTGCCCGCATGATATTTTAAAAATGGCTAATGGTACATATTTGAAATTGGATGGAATTCTTTATTTGGGCACTCTTTTTTAACTGAACAACAATCTGATGAATATTTTAATATTGAAAAGTTTTATGGACAAAAACATTACAGATTTTTTTTAATAAAATACATTTTATAAACTCAACTCCAAATAAAATAAAAATTTAACATGAAATTTTTAGAATTTTAGGTTCACGGTAGTTTACAAATGTTATAAAAGCTATATATTAAATATGGAATTAAATTATGAAACAGAATGTTTTAAACCGTGCGCGCAATTTGAAAATATGGCGAAAAATGTTGTCACAAAGCGGATTAAATTATAAAAATATTTGTGGCAACACAAACTTTCTGATTACTATTTCAGAAAGCAGCTATATTATGTAGGCAGCTGTAAAAAGTTGGAAATAATATCTTTTAAAATAAATAAGTTATCCCAATTCTTGCAACAGTCACCTATTGGAACATCTTATGGGTTTTAAGGTGTATGAGTCAACCAAATGGTAAAGGTTTGGTGCCCGTCTTCCCCGTTCCTAATCGGGACTCGGTACCCCAATATATATTAATAAATAATAAATAAAATATACCCAAAATTTTGACACCCCTTTAAATGCCACATCCTCTCAGTGTTTATTTCTTTTTTACTTCTTAATTTTTTCAGTAACTTACTAAAAATCAGTGTAAATGAAAAGGAGTGTCATTAAATATGACTCCAACTATCAAAAAACTCTATTTATGCGTATATACTACTGATTTATTTAAATACAAATTAAAGTTGGAAAAAAAAATTTTTCGCCTTTAAACTGGCAAGTTTATATATTTATATTGAGCTCAGCAAATAATTTTATATGTATTATCAGTCAACAAAAATGCTATGTTTATTCAAAAGTTGAAATTATCTGTGATTAGATACTAACAGAAAGAGGTGGTGTAATGAAAGTGATCAGATTTATGACCGTAGCATTATTGAAATAGTGCTGGAACAAACATTAAACTTTTTAATTAATTAAAATGCACATAAATTAATTTAAAATGCAATTTATATACCAGAACAAATGGCTAAAATGAGAGAAGAAATCACATAAGCTGCTGAGTGGTTTTAAATAAAATCTTTTATGTCCGTTAAAATTTCAAATTTTGCTGTTTAAAAATGAATAAAACGACAAATTAATATTATTAGTAATGACTATAAGCGTTTTAGAAAATATATTATAATTAATTCATGCATTAAAATTGCTTTGAGCGTGTTTTAAAAAACAAAAACAGGTAAAGAAAAATTCTACTCTCATTTTATATTTTTGTAATATTTCTAGCCAGATAAGGTTTTAAACAAAAGCTTGTCATTTATATTCATATAATCAATTGAGCTACTGCTCAATTGATTAATCTATACTGCTACTGCTATGTTTTATTATATATATATGTCAGGAATAAATAAATTGTTGAAGAATCATAAATGTAGTCGTGGCTTAAATAATCAGACGATAAGTTTAAAAAACAGGATCCATTTATTATTATTCAGAAGAAATAGCAGTTATAAAAATCAGATATCCGGAGTAAATACAAAGAATTACTAATAACTTTTTGTATGAAGTTTATCAGGTTCAATGTTCCTTCTAACCTTCTTCGGGAACATACAAGGACCTGACTCGGAACAGAGAGCTTACTAAAGCTATGTTCACTAATTGTGGTAAGTAGACAGGATACAGACGAAGGGTATACAAAACCCTTTATTTTTCTCTATATACAATAACTTCCGTACTTCGGAATACACTGACCCTCAACTCGGGGTCTAACGTAAAAAGTATAAAAATAAAACTAAACTCTAATTTAACTTTAGAATAATACACGTGGAAGATTGGCCTTATAATAACAGGAAGCGTATGTAGCACAGAGACTGTGAACACTACATACAATACGTTTAATTTATCAAGAGGATTAAAACCTCTGGCCTGGAAGGCGAACAGCAACTGCGTAACTTCTAAGGTAAGCGGCCTGCGTTGACTTACTGCTTCCTCTCTTTCTTGCTTGGCAAAAAGCCACAACTTAAGTACTTGGCGTTCGCCAGACAAACTTTGCATAAAAACCTTCACGCTTATAATTCTGGCCGGAAGTAGAAAATAAGAAGTGATAGTAAAGATTTAAAATAAAATAAACGTTAGTAAAACTTAAGATCCTTACAAGTTTACTGCATCGTGACATTTAAGAAAAAGGCCCGATATGTCTATGTCATAACACAATTAAGAGGCAATCGGCCTAGTGCGGCCTTTACCAATATATTATAAGTAGGGTGTCTTTAATGATGAGTTGAATCCAGTAAGATGGAACGTACTTTTTGCACCTAGTGCGAGTCTCTAGAAGAGAAGTAACGTGGCTCCCGATGTGAGGATTTGCAACTTGAGAATTTCTGCCGCTCGCTATGCTTGTCTTGAGAGAAGCTGCGAATTAATCTTTATCTGCACAGTTCAGAATGGCTTGAAAAGCTAGGCAAAGTTTCTCATATTTGATTTAGCTGATTTAATTCTCTGAACTATTGTGGTTATTGATTTCATGAGAAAAAGGGTTTTCTGATCTTTCTGATCTTTGAAAATGTTAATGATTTCTGCTAAATTTTCCTGCGGTTAAATTAAACGTTTACAGTGACAAAGTCAGAGCTTAACTTTGTCACTGTAAACTTTTTAGGCATTTCTTGATTAGTTTTTCCTGAAGCTTGAATAAATTAGGGAAAGTCATCTTTAGTGGGAATTTCTTGTGGTTTTTCTATCTTCTCTGAATGATTGAATCTTTTTCTGTATATCTTACAACCACGATAAGAAGAAACGTGATTTTCTTGACAGTAAATGCAAGTTGGTTTTCATCTGGTTTTAAATTAAGGTATTGGATCTGTGATTTTGTCCGCACTTACAGCACCTGACCTTTTTAAAGCAGTTATTTGGGGAGTGCCGAACTCCTGGCAATTGAACATTGAATTGGGCGTTTCTGGGCTGATATTTTCTATTGTGATATTGAATCCGAACATATTGTTTAATTGATGAATTTTCTCTCCTGCGAATTCTTTTTAGTTCAGGAAAAATATAGGTAAATGGATAATTTGGTCTTCCGCTTTCTTCGTGAATTGCTTTACTTTAATTATAGGGAAGCTTCTGCGTGAATTACTTGCTCTGTGTAGGATCTTGAGATATTCTTAAGTATAACTTTAATTGAAGAGGCTGAGGAAATTTGGTACGTATGAAAACTAATCTGTGCTTTCTTGAATTTATCAACTGTAGCTTTATAATCGGCTTCGGTGGTAGTGTAAAGGAAAAATCTGTCTGGCTTTGATTGTAACTTCAAATTCGTTTTAAGTTTTTATATAAAAATGTGCTTTTTATTTTTTTTTTCTCAGAAACTAATTCAGTAATCGAAAAATCGATCCGTTAAGTTAAAAACTATTATGAATACAATAAAAAAATTGAAGCAAAATATTGAATTTTGAAGAAGAAGAATTTTAATTGTTGAAGTTTTGTCAAAAAATTCAATTTAACAAAAATTAATAGCAAAAAAATTTTTTTTCAGCTTAAACCATTTGTCTCATAAAATCACTTAATATTATTCATAAAAAGTAGATGAAAGTGCTTAAATAAAAAAAAAATCATTCAAAAGGTACCGAGTCCCCTTAATCCTAATATTAGCCGTCTAAATACAAAATTCGTAACAGTATTATAAAATTATCTAAAATATTTAACCCAAAATTTCAACTTACCAGGGTACGTAATAGGGTTGCCGTGACGAAAGAAAACTAGACCAGGAGGATTTCGAACTCTGTATTTTTTTGCCATAAGATTGTCGGACATTTTTAATAATTGCACTTCGTAATCGCTGCAGTCATCATCTATTTGTTCCAAGTGCTTTAGTATTTCTTTGCTCTCCTTATCATTTTCTTTATCTGCCCAAACAATAAAATTATAAGCATATTTAGAAGGAAATAAACAATGAAATTCAGTAAAAGAATAAGGGAGAAATTTTTACAGAAATATATTGCTAGGTACTCCTGTTCTTCGATCATCCTGAATAACATATCTCTGTTGATATTTTCTATGGTGTCTTCTGTTTTCTGCTCAATTAACCACTGCAGGAGATCTTCTTCGCTCATGAGGTCTCCTGAAATTAAATTTTGTCAATAATACAATCTCACGTCGATATTTTCAATATACACGCTTCAATTTTCCATACATCCATCTCGCGTATTTTTCCCCAGCGTTTTAGCGCCAGGTTCTGGAAAAAAAATTTTAAAATATTCGCCTCATTTTCCCATTTCCAATGCGGTCAGAGAACGAGCTACCCTGAATTTTAAAATGGATTCGCCCACGTAGTGGTTGCTTTCGACTTATTAACAAAGGACCCTCGCAGATTGCTAAGGTCACGCCGAACCTTTCTCCTTATAAGTTTTGAACTTAATTGCAGCCTAATAGAATAGCTGACCCATCACGGGGAAGTAAACACGAACTCACATTCAGTCTACGATTTCGCCGAGTCGGCTGCCTATTCACCTTCTCTAATTATGAATGGATTAGGCTTAATGAGTAGCAGAGTAACCCAATAAGAACGGAAGAGGTTACAGTTACAGGGAAGTAGAAACGAAGGTATCTTATTTGATATTGTACAATTAATATTACTTATTGGAATGTAGGTTTCTTTTAAAGACATAATATTGTGATAGTTAAGTGCAGTTCATTCACCACCAATTGTCATCGGTTATGTTCTCCCTCTAACAGTGTCCTTCAAAAATTAAATGATTGGCATAATTTTCCTCTCTCGTTTTTTGGACAATACTATTTGTAAAAAAAGGGGTGAAGAATACGCGGGGAAATACGGTATTTAATGCAATAATGTACCAGAAATAAATATAATGATAGATAATAATACAGTAACATACATGTAATAAATAAATGGTAATAAATATGCTAAGCAATAACATACCTAAATAAATAAAATAATAAATAGCTGAAATAAATGCTATACATTATGGGGTGACTGTAGGGGAAGGCTACATTAAAATTTTTCTCTTTTTATTTATTTTTTCCTAATTATGCATGTGTGAAGGTGACTTCCAAGAATGTCACAGATGCTATTCTTTCTATTAATTCTTCACATTTTATATTTATAATTCAGACGACTATTATTCCGTTTCCGTTCTAACGCATCCGTTGGCGTGGAAGTATCAATTGAGTTTTTGTACGAATTGCATTCAAGTATGTTCAGTGTTCTAACTGAACACCATCTGAATGCAGTTCACTGTGTAAAATATCTCAGCAGAAATGTCTTATTGCATCCTTTCTGACCTGAAATAATATATTTGAATTATAATAGCTGAAAATCTGATATACACACACTAGCCAATTAATTAGAAACCTTTGAAATTTTCATTTGAATGCGTGCTAGGGATGAAGTATGTAATTTTTTTTATGATGTGGGTTACACGTGGTTAGAATGCTAGTATAAATAAGGTGTAAGAATGCTTCTCACGATGAATGAAGTAAAATGCGAAAAATGATAGATATTTCACCATTTGGAAAAAAAAAAAAAAAAAAAAAGGCTTATTGTTGGTTGGTGCCCGTTTATATTGTTGTTGTTGTTGTATTATTATTGTTGGTGCCCGTCTATATTGTTGTTGTTGGTGTATTATTATTGTTGGTGCCCGTCTATATTGTTGTTGGTGGTGTATTATTATTGTTGGTGCCTGTCTATATTGTTGTTGTTGGTGTATTATTATTGTTGGTGTATTATTATTGTTGGTGCCCGTTTATATGTTGTTTGTTGTTGTTGTATGTTGTTATTGTGGTGGTGTATTTTATTGTTGGTGCCGTTAGAGGGGGTGGATTTCGAAACAGCAATTGCGCTTCTCAAAAGCAGCCATGTCAAAGGTTTTCAAAAGTTGAACGTTACTGCGGTTCGAGCACAGTTTTTCAAGAGAGTGATCGGCGTCGTCTCTGATTAATTGTACGGCAGAACATGGATTCCACTGTGCTTCAACTGACACAGATCGTCAACCAAATGTGTGTGTGTGCGATTATGGCAAAGCCTCGAGGGCTATCTGCCTAAAGGGAGGGATGCCTTTCGTGGAGGACTTTCTAAGGGAAACTGGCTCGTATACACGTTACACATGGGGAAAACCACGAAAACGCCCATGCAGCCAGCCCGTTCGCGGGATTCGAACCTCGGACCGAACTACCAGTGTTCAGCGACTTTACCGCTCGGCCGCTGGTGGGCGATCGTCAACCAAAACTTTTCCCAACAGATTTCAGCTCGAACTATGCACAGAGAACTGAAGATTATCAGAGTGCATAGTCGGGTGCCTATGAGGAAACCAGTCATTTTTGCCCGACATCCAAGAATTCGTTTGCAGTGGTGACGGGAAAGAAGACACTGGACATCTGGCGATTGGAAACGGGGGTGATTCTTCGGATTATGGTAACTTGGCGATTTTTTGGCGACCAACCCTGTTACAGCAACCTGCTAGTTTTATTTTGGACGCCATTGTTTTCACGAAGTAAAGGTTTTTTTTTTTTTTTTTTTTTTTTTTTTAAAATCAACATTTTTTCCAACAATCTGCTAGCCGAATTACGCTTATACAAAAATTTTAGGAAAAAATGCTTAATCATGACGAGATTATGTGCGAAATGGGAGAAAGTGCAGAAATCGCAACTGCTTGCCGCGTTTTTAAGAATTGCACATACACGGTATCCATGTACACGTCGCCTATTTTCACTTAAAAAAAACAATCCCAGAATTGCACAAAAAATGGCATTGCACACACTCTTGACTTTATCATGTACACATCGACCTATTTTCGCTTAAAAAGTCAAAGAAAATGACAAAAATCCAATTCTTCTTACTCTTGTAAAAAGCGCCAAACAAATAAGTGGGCGATTCTGCACTTAAGCAGCGAAATTGTTTCTAAGTTTATAAAAATCACGATCGAAATTTTCCGGAAAATGTCACTGACAGTCTCATGATCTCTCATTTTCTCTGAGACAAAATAATCTGTATTCGAACTGTGTACTTCTCAGATTACTGCTAAAGTCCTAGCTAGTAACCTTTATCGCCTTACCAAAATGTCGCCAAACTACCTGTTACCATATTCCAAAGATTAGCCGAAACGGGTAATGTAATCGAATGAATCACGCTCGACACCATGTTTTGCAATGACAGAAGACGTTGAGTTTGACGAGAACCCCACGAAGACATGAACCCATCTTGCCTTACTCGCATTGTGAAAGAGTCTGGTGGGAGTATCATAATACGAGGCATGTTCTGCTGGCATGGAAGTGCTGCTCTGGTATTCCTCGAGGGTAAACAAACAGCCATGAGATACCTAGATATACTGGCAGATCAAGTGCACCATGCAATGTTGCATTTTTACCCTGATGGCGGCGCGGATACTTCATGGACGATAATGCAGCTCTACATCGTACCAGAATTGTTCAAAATTGGTTCGCTGAACATCAGTCTGATTTCCAACACCTTCCCTGGCCACCGCATAGCCTGGATCTTGAGCCCATAGAAAATGTGTGGGATATGGTGGAAAGACGCATCCGACTCCTCTTCCACCTAATTGACAAGATCTAGAAATCTACATAACCAATGCATGGCATTCTGTGGACGCAAATGCATTCCAGAAGACTCGATGCCCAAACAAATCAGATTTTTTACGGGTCGACACTTTCCTGAACATATACCACCAATGGAGAAAAAGACTACTCCAGTCAGACAACGTTTCCTTTGTTGTCGTAAAACTGATGAAAAGGTAGAGAGGATACGACGTGAGACTCGAGTTTATTGTAAAGACTATGGTGTAGGCTTGTGTTCCCTGTCACGGTTTCGTATATACTACCATGCTGTAAAGGATTTGTGAAATTCAAAGGAATCTGAGGGACATGGAATTCATGGCAGTTGATATAAATAATATTGTAGTATTAGTTTATTTATTATTTAATTTGTTTTATTTTGCTGTAATTTGAGCAAAAATTCATTAACATTTCCAATATATGTGAAAATATTGAATATAGTAGTTATTCTGTTTAAATTTTCGTTTTATTTTAAATAACCCGTTTCTAACATTTTGATGAACAAACAAAATTAAACAGAAATTTTTTCCACTTTTGGCACGTTTTTCTCAAATATATTCCACAGGCAAGGGGTTAAAACCTTAACAAACTCTCTGCAAATTCTGACGATGTTAATATTTCAGAAAAGAAGAAAGACTCTGAAATATTTCAGATTTTTTTTTTTAATTTGATCAATGGAATCATGTATTTAAATAGTTATTTATATACTTTTGCACTTTATTATCCATGACAGAGTAATATTTAATACAAACAAACTACAAGAGCCATTTTGGTGTGAAACTATCATGCACAACTGAATTATAAATGAGATATGAAAATGCATACCATCGTAAATGCTTGGAATCATGTTCTCAAAATATACAAATGACGGTACAGAAGATATTCCCAACTCTGCCGCAAATTCGATGTCATCCGTTTTCAGTATCTGTACGCCATAACGGTCTGAATCGTCATCTATATTTTATCCTAATTCTTTAAACAATCATTGCTAATAACAATTTCCCAATAATACCAAATTCCTTTACTCCACTACATTTAGAACAATGCATAAAAATATATCCTCAAATAATTAAAAATACTAACTTACCTAATCTTCTTCAGAATCTTGATTACGTGTCCGATAAACTTTTCTTCTTTCTGTTTCAGGATCTTTAAAATCATACTTATATTTCACAGCAAGGTACCAGGTAAAATAAATAACTTAATAAAAATCTTTATTTCTATCTCGCACATCCTTAAAGAAAACATTTATTACTACCCTTTTCAATACCACTAAATACCCATTTCGAATTCACTTTAGTTACGGCCATGGATCCAAAAAATTCACGAACACTGTTTCACACAACACAGAATAAAGTCAAATACAAAATTTCCAGATTTTTTCCCGATTTCCCCCCTTTTCCAATTAAAGAACCATAATTCGTCCATTAATATCACATGACATATGCCATGATCTCTCATTTCCCTCACACAAAATAATGCGTAATCGGAACTGAGTACTGCTCACATTATTACCAAAGTCCCAGGTAGTAACCTTTATCGCCTCCAAAATGCCGCCAAACTACCAGTTACCATATTGTAAAGATCAACCATTTTATGTTCAAGCAACTTTCCTATTGCTGTTGCTTTTAACTCGCACTCTTTTGCCAGAGTGTAAATTAACTAATGCTTATGTATTCAACTAAAGTAGAAAGAAGTTAGCATTTATGTAAAGGTTTTTGAAGGTTTCAGTCGCGATCCCTTTTTATCATCGAGCTTTTTTACGCAACATCTGGATCCAATAATATTTATGAAAATTTTGTGGGACCCCATACACATTGTGCAAATCCGACACTTGCGAGAGTGACAGTTTCTTCACTTTTACTGTAATGTACTACTACAGTTTTAGGACATTAACTTTAACTTCTAATTTTTAGACATAGAACATTGTGAACATTTTAAATAAGTAACAGGTGAAATGACAGTGTCACATGCAAAACAAGTAAAATGAATGTTTATATTAAAAAAGAATGTGTCGAAACGTTTTTGTCTTCTCTTTGTCTGTATTGTCTTATCTTTATCTATTTTCAGATAGATTGTGTAAAAATATTCGGTAATTGTAAAATTATTATAATAAGTTAAAGAAATATCAAAACTGTTAAAATTTTTGGCCACCCCTTGCTGCAGGTCCCGCGACCTAAGAAACTCTGCACTAAACAGTTTTCTAAAATCAAGTTCAATTTATGATAGCATACATACAATATGTTAAGTAATCAGTGTCTTTATCAGTCCACAGGTCATAGTTAAGCAGTGTAAAAAATTTAAAAATTTTACCATCAAAACCATAAAAAGCTTAAAAATCTAAAAAATCTGGTAATGGATGTATATGTACATTTAATAGCATGTATATATATATATGTGTGTGCTAAAATTAATGTTACTTACTTTAGATAAAGCAAAAAACTGCTTCTTAGATACAGGCTTATTCTTAGATACACTTTTATGGAATCCTGCAATAATTTCATTAGAATTCACTTTTTTCTCACGTTTTGAATTCAGAATTTTACGTGCATCAACAGTGCCACGAGATAGAATTTTTCTATTTCTCCAGTTTTCTTCTACACGTTTGCCTGACTGATTCTTCCATTTCTTTTTATTTAACAAATAGCGAGCATCACTCTTCATGCTAAAAGATTTCAAATATATATATATATAAAAACAGTTAACATAAAACAAACATACATATAAAGTCATTAAAAAGCACTATAGATTCTAATTTTTTATTGATATTTTTTAAAGATATATAAAAATTTCATTACATGAGAACATTACATAAGGGCACCAGTCTGTCCTAAAAAAAGAATGTTTTGTATGCACTGCAGAAGGATCTGGAAAATATAATAGTGGTCAAAGATAGGTAGAAGGAATCCAGGTATATAATTTGGTCTTTCGCAGAATTTGCTTTTTTGAAGCAGGATGTTTATGGTGTCTTGTCACAGGAGTCACAGATGTCACTTATCTTGTCACAGGAGAAAATGCATAGTCTAAAAGCAAAATCTAATGTGGAGTCCATAAAAGTCATCAGTAGCATTAGCAGGTCAAAATTCTGCTGGCAGAAAAAGTTTTTGGCCTTCTAGTGACAGATATTGGTTGTTACCAACTGAAATTGACAGAAGATGGCAAGAACTTGCAGAAACAAGTGAAAATATCTCACAAATACTTCAGTAAACAACTTCAATAAATCAATTACAAACATTACTAAAGCTTTTCTTATTCTTGTCATTTCAAATACCTGTGATACTTTTCAAAGCAAATTTGAGGTAACAAAATATTTATAAAGAGCAGAATCTAAGACTACACTGAAACTGGGGGGGGGGGGAAATTAGCCCAAAAGGTAACATTAAAAGAAAATCATTTTAAATACTTTCCCACTCAGAATTTATTTACTCTCTCTCTATATATATACACACAAAGTACACAGGGTGCAGGCTAGTATATTACAATCAGAAAAATTGTGCCAGCATTCAGAGGAAAGTGCCTCTTTCAGCAATACATACCTAGTAAGCTATCAAAATAAATATGGCACAAAATTCTATGGTCAATTCCAAAATTTTCTATACTGTGAATGTGGAGGGAGGAGCCACGCGGTCTTTACGAAGTTAACAGCAGTTCAATGGTAAAAAGATGGTGTGCAACAGTGAGTGGTAATGGTGTGTATATAAGAAATGCACGAGAATCAGTGTTCTGCGGAAAGCAAAATGTTAGAAGATACAAAATGTGGCTTTCAAACTTTGCATTTTTCACAGATCTTCTTTGTCATACGAGAAACTGGAATGTCAAGATGCAAGGGAAAAATCAATTTATCGACAATATCTGGGCCCATCTCAAAACTTTAAAACTTAAACTGTTTGCTGGGCAGTTAGCTAAGAACGACTTGTCTCATTTCCCAAGGTTAAATTCAATACCCTCAGTAAACGTGTGTCTGTGTGATTATAGTAAAGTCTCGAGAGCTATCTGCATAAGGGCAGGGATGCCTTAATGGAGGACGTTCTAAGGGGAACTGGCTCATATACACGTTACACATGGGGAAAACCACGAAAAACTGCATTTTGAGTTCGAACGGAGATTAGAGATTTCAGTGGCATTCAAATGGAACTGGATATTTTTACCATGCCTTTCAACGTAAATCATGAAGCAGTGAGATCAGATCTGCAGCTTGAATTAACCGAGTTGCAATTTAACAATCTCAAGCAGCTGTTTCTAAATATGCCAAAGTTAGAGTTTTACAAATCATTATCAAAAGTAAGTTTCCCAAATTTAATATCTCATGCCCAGAAAATCAGTACTATGTTTGCTTTACTTTATAAATGTGAACAAGAAACCATTTGTTATCAATTTTCTTTATTAAAAAAGTTAAAAAAAAAAGTCTATTACAGATTCTAGACAGCTGTGTCAGCTATGCCTGCAGTGTAGACAAATTAATGTGCAGTAGTTTTTCCTCTTTGGTGTATGGTGTGAATGTGTTAAAATTCAGGATATCTAATTTGGAAAACAAAACTCTACCGCTAGAGACAAAGGTAGAAATTTTAAAGAAATACAGAATGGTGAATGTAAAACAAGGTTAGCAGCTGACTATGGAATTAAAAAAATTAACTTTTCAATTTATTTGTAAAACAGTTATTCAATTTTAGATTCATTGGAAATAAATAAATTTGCTAGAGAAAAGGATGCTAGATCTTGAAATTTTCCGATAAATGGACCCCTACTGCAGACCAAGTATGATGAATTGGCAAGTCGAATGGGTATTGAAGATTTTAAATGCCGTGATGGATAGCTTTTTCAATTTAAATCAAGGCACAGTGTTACTTATCAAAATACATGCGGTCAAAGGTCTGATGTAAACGAAGACATACGCACTAATTTCAGTAGAAAACTGCAAGGGATTTTCTCCACTTAACTGCCGAAAAATATTTTTAATGCGGAAGTGATTTGCTATATTTTTTTATAAAGGCCACTTTTTGCAACTTCACTGTTAGAAAATACAGCGTAAAAATCGCACAAATTATTAAGTGGAGTATAAACTATAGGAGCAAACAATACAAATATTAACAATACTAATGCTTGTTGTAATGCTGCAGTGTGCAAATTCCGAACGCTACCTCCAAACATCACATTTGTGTGCTTTGAACTGCTTTCGTCATTTTTGACGGTATTTACATTTACCAGGTTCTCTGCGGTAGTGCTTCCCAAATGTCAGATTCTTACCCTTTTTCTTCCATATTCTATTCCCAACGAAAGTTACAACACATAATAAATATTTTTATAACAGTATTATAAATAGATTCACTGACCTAGTGGTACACAGTATATAGGAAATGCAAAGCAATCTTCAAAACACAATATTCTCTTCACTAATATTCCATTAACAACAAAAACATGTAACCAAAGAATCTGTAATTGCATGTAACAACGCACCTTGCAATGATGTTGCCAAAATTAACTTCATAAATGTCAACACATTAGAAATAATTTTAATAAAGTTTTCTGGGGAATTTTATCAACTAAGGAATGCAACTTGCTATAATGACCAGTGAAAAGATATACAGTTGGTCTTTCAGTGGAATGATGTTATAAAAATATATGTTAGGGAAAGTGTCTGTAATTTCTTGCTCTAAATTTCAATACTTTCGCGGTTAGGTTCACAACAATAGTTCCATAAATAGTTAACAAAATTTTAAGATATCTATTTTTAACGATTAAAAAAATAATTTCGCAATGTGTACTTTTAAAGTTTTTTTTTTTTTTTTTTTTTTTTTAAGTTAGTTTTGTTTATGGTTTTTCGTCATCGGAAGTCATAACCGTAATACTACCTGACATCGGCATTTTGATCGGACTCCGTGAAAGAGTTGATTTTTAAAATAATTCTGTACTAGCAGTACCATGAGTTCAATAGGTACCGGATATGATTTATCTGCATCTCAGTTTTCACCTGATGGCCGTGTATTTCAAGTGGAATATGCTCAGAAGGCTGTGGAAAATAGTGGTACTGCTATAGGACTAAGAGGTAAAGATGGAATTGTTTTTGCTGTTGAGAAACTTGTTACTTCGAAATTATATGAAGCTGGAGCCAATAAACGAATCTTCACGATCGATCGGCATATTGGTGTTGCAGTAGCTGGTCTTCTTGCAGATGCTCGACAAATTGTGGAAACTGCAAAATATGAAGCATCAAATTATCAGGCCGATTACAACGATGCAATACCTCTGAAATATTTAAAGGATCGTGTGGCCATGTACATGCATGCTTACACACTGTACAGTTCCTATCGTCCATTTGGTGCCAGTGTTATTATGGGTGCTTATGAATTCGATGGTCCTCAGATGTATTGTATCGATCCGTCCGGCATATCATGGGGATATTTTGGATGTGCTGTTGGAAAAGCGAAACAAGCTGCTAAAACGGAAATGGAAAAACTTGAACTGAAAAATATGACATGTGAAGAATTGGTAAAAGAGGCTGCAAAAATTATATACATAGTACATGATGAAGTAAAAGATAAAAATTTTGAACTTGAATTAAGTTGGGTTGGAGAGATTACCAAGGGAAAACACACGTTTGTACCTCAAAATGTATTCCAAGAAGCTGAAAGTCATGCAAAAGCAGCTGTTAAAGATGATTCTGATGATGAAGAAATGTGAATATTAATTCATCTTAGTGCACTTCATTTTGACTCATAATAATTTATAACAAGTTATGTTATTAACATGATAAGTTTTGTAATAATAATCGCAAATATTTTTTATATTTGTATGTCTTTCTTTTACAGTCAAATGCATAAACATATTCAAATGTAATTTTTTATTTTGTAACAGTCTTACTATTGCTTCAAATAAGGTGCTGATTATTAGTATGATAATCTTATAATGCATTTTATATGGTGTTTCCATTGCTAGGATAGCAATCATCATAAGATTTTTTAGGAAAAGGACTGAATTAATTTGAATACAGGTATTATTTAAAAGGTTATACATTGCGTTTACTTTTATAATTAGTAACAAATATGGTAAAAGAGTTGAATTACAAAGATTTCAATGAGGGAATTTAGAATGTTTGTTTCACAGTTATTAATGGGAGTTATTACAGCTGAATTTAAGGTAATCGAATTTGTCAGAATTAAAATTGTAGGGACATATTTGTCATTTCATTAAGGATTTCAATGCTACATATTAATACAAGATATGTTTTTCTTTATTTATATATTTATTCCTTTATGATAAACTTTAGTCAGCATCAGGCTAATTTAGGAATGAATTTAACAAGGTGGTGCTTTTTTACCAGGTATGCTGAGCTTTCATTTGTGCAGAAAAGCAATTGTAAATTAACTATTATGTATGAAATTTTTACTATTAAAGAATATTTATCATAAACAAATAATCTATAGAGAACTTTCTAAAGGGAATTTAAAAAAAAAAAAAGTCTCATGAAACTCATTTCTGCTTCATGAAAGTGTCACTTTTTTTTTTTTTTTTTTTTTAATATGAAATGATTACTGAATGGTGTCAAAAGGATTTTTTAAATATGAAATGGTTGCCTTATGTCGAAGGATTCCAAGAGAATACAATTAAAGTGTGAACAGAAATTTGCATTGATATTATATACGAATATTTTTAAACTAATTATCTATGTTAAATACAAACTAAAAAATTAAAAGAAAAATATACAAATAATAAAAAACTTTGGGTTAGAGAGAAGGGCACCCCTTGTATTATCATGAAGTTGTTTCATTTATTGCCAAGTGGTGTTGTGTTTATGGTAGCCTAAATAGTTGATCGATATAAAACCCTATTATGACATAATTGGTTGCATGATTGTGGTGAATTTGTAAGGGCTTGTCCTGTCTGTTGGTTAGGAAGTATATTGCTTGTTTTCTGCTTTAGATGGTAAAATGCTTGAATAAGATTAATTTGAAGTTTCTGTACGATTTGGAAAGAAAGGGGAAATGAGCATTACTTATACTGGTGTGCAAGTGAAGGTTTACGTAGTAGCCATTATTAACTGTTTGTAGAAAGGAAATGCCTATGGTTGGAGGATATTTTTTACTCTTATTTTGTAAATTTATGTGGCAATGCCAGTATACAGATTCTAGTTCAGGGAAATTTATTTGACTGAAGACAACATTAATTCTTAAACAAGGTAAGTGGATATTTCCTTTGTGTAATGCAAAGATGAATTTCCTTTTTTATGTTATTTCATTGTTTGATTTTAAATGTAGTTTATTGCTATTATACTTTTTTTTTTTTTTTGCTGGTTGCTCTTTTGACTTTTTAAGTGAATATAGTTTGATATGTACATTTACAAAGTCAAGGGAGTGCACAATGTCTAGTTTATGCAATTCTCTTATGTTTTTTTAAGTGAAAGTAGGTCTTTGTGTACATGGATAAAGTCAAAGGGGTGTGCAATGCCAATTTTGTGCAATTCTGGGATGTTTTTTTAAGTGAAAATAGGTTAATGTGTATATGGATACCAAGTTTGTGCAATTCTTTGTCTTGTTATTTTGGCTTTGTGTAGTGGCGATCAATATCCATGTATCGCCAAGGGGTACCCATAAATATACTTTTACCAAAACTGTGTTTTAGAATGGAAAATTAGTGGGGATTTTATGCCGAGAAAGATATTAAAGTTAATAATATATAAAGATGTATATGTATCTCTTAGACATGATAATATATATTTTAAGTCTCTCATTTTAATATCTGGTAGACATGATAGTATGCATTTTAAATCTCCTTTATTTATATACAAAATTGCCTTCATAATCATAAATCAAAATCTGCACATTACATCAGCTATTTATATATCATACACAAAAGCTCTTCCGGTATTACAAGGACACTTCCAGTTTTTAATTTTTGTCCTTTAACAAATTTTGTAGAGCACTAATTTTTTACAAAACAAAAAGCCATCGACCTGATGAAATATAGGGCTAACAGTACAAAATGCACTTAGGAAGTTAGAATAAAAAATACTAAATGTAAATCACAAAAAAATACAAGAATAATGAAATTGCGAATGCAGCACAGAATAACATACAGCACAAGAACAAAAATTTTAGGAAAAAAATATTGCTTCAGTTTCCCATAACCACTTTGGGGCTGAAAATGCCCATAAGCCATTTTTTATATTGTACATGTTTATAATCATAAGTTCTCAGCACAGTGTTATTAAGAGTTCTTATTTCACAGTGAATTTTTTTGACAAAGGGGTAATAAAAAGGTTCTGAGTTTAATAGTACCAAGTTCTTCATAAATTGTGTTGTTCCTAAAGTACCAAGGTACATTTGCAATCTGCATCAGAACACATGGGCTGTTTGCACTTTTTTCCTATTTTACATGAATATGCCCAGATTGAGCAGGCATAACACATCAGCCACAAAATGGATTTATAAATGAGTAACTTATTATCAAGAGATAGAATGCTGTTTCGAGCAATTAAGGGGTATAGTGTGCCTTTACGCACTTGAAACTTCTGGGTAATTGAATGTAAATGTGAGGGAATTTGTGAGGATCACCCTAAGATAAGGACAGAGTTGTTCCATAGAACTTCAGAGGCTTGGTAATAGTCTTTTTCCTAGTGAACATAATTGCAATTGTCTTGTGAACATTCACTTGTATTTCCCGCTTTAGGAACCAGGATACTAGTGTATGGATGTGGGTTTGTAAATGTTGAATAACTGGACTAAGAAATGCATTTTCAGTAAGGGTTGCTGTATGAACAGCACGCATTGCTAGTGTAGTGTTGGTTGTGCGAGGAAAATCTTTCACATTAACGTTAAAAAGTGTGGGACCGAGCAAGGACCTCTGTGAAACGCCTGGAGTAATGGCACAGTGAGTTGAGTGTGTGTTTGAAATGTGAACAACAAAGTATCTACTGTAAGGTAGGATTTAACTATGTGTATGATGTAATCTGGAAACGCCAGACTATGGATCTTGTAAATGAGTGTGTCCATCCAAACACAATTGAAAGCCTTGGCTGTATCAATAAAAAGTCCAGCAGTGAATTTTTTGTGGGGAAACCCTTCCGCAGTATGCCCCATAACATCCTAAATTTGATAGGAAGTCGACAAGATTTGAGTCCAAACTGATGTGGGTTGAGGATAATATTGCTCTCCAAGTGCTCCTGAACTCTCTTAGAATTACAACATCCATTAATTTGCTAAGACAGAATAAAAGTCTGATAAGCCGATAAGATCCTGGCTCCGTAGCTGACTTTTTATGGCTTGAAAATGGGTGTAATACTGGCAGTTTTCCATTTAGTATGGAAGTATTACCAATGAAGAATAACACTAAAGAGTTTAGTGAGCTTGAAAATCATCTTGTGTGTGTGTGATTATGGCTAAGCATCAAGGGCTATCTGCCTAAGGGGAGGGAGGCCTTTCTAAAGGAAACTGGCTCGTATACACGTTACACATGGGGAACCACGAAAACGCCCATGCAGCTAGCCCGTTCGCGGGATTCGAACCTCGGATCGAACTACCAGTGTTCAGTGACTTTACCACTCAGCCACTGGTGGGCTGAAAATCATCTTGAGAGGAAACCTAGGTAAAAATATATTTCGGAGTGCAACTTTGTCGATTGTCCAACAAGGCTCAATTTCAAGATGGCCGCTACACAAAACCAAAATAACAAGTCAAAGAATTGCATTAACGTTATCAGGTTCAATGTTCCGCCTTACTTGCTTGGGGAACATTTAAATGACCTGACTCGGAACAGGGAGCTTACTAAAGCTATGTTCAATAAATGTGGGAAGTAGACAAGATACACAGGAAGGGTATACGAAACCCTTTATTTTTCACTCTTTACAATGATTCTGGACTTCGGAATACAGAGACCAACCACTTGTGGTCTAAACGTAAGAATATAAAAATATTAACTTAACTTTGGAATAACAAACAAGGGCCTCCGAGAAGATTGGCCGTATATTAACAGGAAGCCGTATGTAGTAATGAGAACTGTTAACACTACAATACGTTTAAAATTATCAAGAGAATTAAACCTCTGGCCTGGAAGGCAACCAGCAACCGAGTAAAACTGCTAAGGCAAGCGGCCTGCTTCTACTAACTCCTTCCTCTCTCTTGCTTGGCAAAAAGCCACAACTTAAGTACTTGGCGTTTGCCAGACAAATTTGCATAAATAAGTTAAAGCTTTCAATTCTGGCCGGAAGTAGAAAATAAGAGTTGATAGTAAGATTTTAAAATAAAATAAACGTTAGTAAACTTAAGATCCTTACATACTTCCCGCCAGAGTAATTAGTTTGAAACTGAGGTCTAAAACGACCTTGTTGAAACTTTTAGCTTCTAGAATCTAATGCGAGGCCAATCTTTTACAAACATTCCTCACTAGAAACTAGAAATTTAAAAAAAAAAATTTGTTTTTACATTTCAGCTCCATGGACAATTATTTTCATCTGTACTGCATCTAAACAGGAGCTTTTAGTTGAAAACTAGTTTAATGAAATGTTACACAATTAAATGGCAAGTAACATGAATATTATATCTCCTAACATTCTTATTTCATTCCTGACTTTATTTAAATCTCCCCGTGCTCTCTGACATGTGTTGTAAAGAAAAACCGAACGAATGTGTTTATGTACAAGTGTTCAACACTACCGCCTGCAATCAAAACACTAACGTTTAAATTCAACATAACCAAGACCTCATAACACACCTTATCTTCATCTCTAAACCCTGAGGTACTATTCTGAAAGTGGCTAACTCTGAAGTGTAGCGTCAGAGAGCCTAACTACAT